CAGTCTGCTACCCTGAGAGAGAGCCGTCAGTGTGCAGCCCCTCCCCCCAGCCTCCTCACAGCAGTGGGCTGGAGGAGATGAAACCTGGGGGGGCAGACTGATCGTCTGTCTGTCTGTCTGTCTGTCTGTCACACACAGGATGTGCTCAGGCTGTTTATCGGACAGACAGCGCTCTGTCATCAGAAGTGATTCTGTTCCACACACCTGGGCTCAGTCAGCGGTGCACTGACTGTGGTTGCATTCAGATCATTTGTGGAAGTCAGGCCACGCCCGGCTCCCCCTTTCAAAATCTGTTTCTCTTTGTTCATTTTTAGGCCACTAATGCCATCCATCCATTCATCGCCACCCCTTATGGGAGAGTCGGCTAATGGAGGAACTAGTACCCTTATTGCAATCCTTAAAACAACAGCAGCAGCAGCACCAGCTAACCAAGTATATATGGATCAAATGTAATCGACGTTTGTGCCGGGAGAGGTTTTGGTGCTGAAAAGACTAATTGGAGTCAGGGTGTCATTTATAATTTGATCTGCAGCAGAAACCAGAGCATTGTGACTAGAGGAGGACGGGGAGAGAGAGAGACACATTTTAAATGATGGCGTTGGAGCCTGGTTTCTGTACGGAGGTGTGTGTGGATGAGGAATGGAGATGTGAAGATGTAAAAGTGTCATGAACTCCAACCTCAAACAAATCATACATATTATTCAGACATGTATCGACTAAGGAGCACATACTATATAGTATTGTCCCAACCAAGTCACACCGGAATGAAGAGAACTGATCCCAGCTACACATGCACGAGAAAAACAATGATTAATATCTGATTTGGTGCAATTTATTCTTGCATGTTAAATGTGGCCGTATAAAGTTATCCAGCTCTAACGGAAATGTAGATTTCCAGTTGTGGTGAAAAGAACAAATATCATAAACAAATATCACATTTGAAATTCCATATCCAAGGTAGAGAATCAACTTTGGTCCTCAAATAATAATAATAACAACAACAACATTATATGTTGTTATTCTGCATTTATCTGCAAAATCATACTGACTAAATAATGTCCAGTCAATCCCAAACTAAAAGTACTATTTTTAAACCAAAGTGATGAAAACGATGCACGATTGACTAGCCCCAGCCTCTAAGCAGAGGCCCTATCGGCAGCAGTGTCGCAGCTCGCCCTATCGGCGCGTGTCGCAGCTCGCCCTATCGGCAGCAGTGTCGCAGCTCGCCCTATCGGCAGCCGTGTCGCAGCTCGCCCTATCGGCAGCCGTGTCGCAGCTCGCCCTCTCCTCACAGAACTGTTCATGTAACATTCATTAGTACACACAGCCGTTTAGCGCTGATTGATAGACCTGGGAAATGTTCCATGTCATAAATGCTGCTGTAATTCATGGCTGCGGCTCTTAACGAGGCCCCTGCTGTCTACGGGGCCACAGAGCACGGAGCCATCACTCAGGGCTAAGCACACAGAGCCAGGCTGCTGCACCGGGGGGGCCGTCAGAGGAATATTACACTGCGTTAGTGCAGTAAATGATAAGCTGGAATTCTCAGGGCTGGGATTTGTTTGGTGTTTATGGTTTTAACGTCCACTAATTACAACATTCTCATTTCAGAGCTCCTTATTCAACAGGAAGCCATTAACTTACACTAACAACACCTTCATCACTCCACGTCTCCGTAGAGAGCCCCAGTGGAACATTACATAAACGTTAATTATACACCTTTAATTATATATTTTTGTATTAATATAAATCATCATACTTACTTCAAATGTTTATTCAAATATATGTATTTGATCTTGTCTTTTTATAGCAGATGCTTACTTGAACTACTCATGGTTATATGAATATATTTATTCAATTTATTTCAACATGGAGAAACTTTAAAGAAAAACTAAGGGTTGATAAATATTACAGCATAAATGTTATATATTGAAGTAATTGGACATTTTACTTAAACGTCTTACATGTATAGAATTATTTTCCTTTTAAATTTCACATTTCTTCTTTTACTTTTAATGTTCTTTTATGTTCTTTCTTCATTTTCAAAGAGCAACTGTCACAAAACCATACTTCCACATAGATTTATGAGAAGTGTTCTGACTAACACACATGTATCCATTGTTAAAAGCTTACTGTCTGTCAGTGAGGGGGGGGGGGACACTGACTGATCTAAAGCTGGAGTACTTACTCTGTAGAAGTGCATCACGTTCTCTTTCGTCAGCGTCTTCAGATAGGACACCTCGGTGTTATCTGAAACAGATCGTGAGTCAGGTTTCAAAAACACACTTTCAAAGTTCCTAATCCTCTATAACGATGCTACGGAAAGCTATTATGTGACATCTTAGCGATGCACGTTTCGCCCGTCCATATTTCACTGCATTGCTTCCAGTGTGTCAAAAGATACATTTAAAATATTATGAATTGGCTATAATTCAGGAAGAAGGCCCACAGGACTATTAAATCACCCCGGCAACAAGCTGTCTCCCTTTCACTCATCTCCCTTATGCTGTCCACTGACATGTGTCTTAATGGTACCCTATACATACAGATGCCCTGCCTGCTGTGTTCATTTGCTAGTGGATATATCATAGACTTGATTATTTTCAACTTATTCACCACTAAATCAAAAGTGTCTCTTCTCCCATAAACAATTTGACCCCAATGCTTTTATATTTTACATTTAAAATAAGCATCTTTTTGCACAAAATGTTAAAGGACAGACTGACAGCAGCTCTCTGACACAGTTGGAGCACAGTCATGGCTTCGTTGTGTTTGTGCTTTGCCCTTGGCATGAGCGTGTTAGCTGCCCTCCTCTCTCCCCCCCTCCTCACACACTAGTGTCAGTAATCAGCCCCACCCCCCCCCCCGGCAGCCTTCCAGTGCTGCCATCACTGCGGGATTTAGGCAGATTACCAGTGAATCGGGCCCATTACAATCCATTAGGCCCTCAGGAGAGGCACTGCAGATTGTTCCGGCTGTAATCGATGGGCAGCTCTTAGCAGCATCCTGCCCCTTTTGAAGGAAATATTGATGGTTCTCAAGAAACGGTAACCCAAGCAACACAATCTCTTTATATGGCAATAGCTGATAGATCATAAAGACACTATTTTTGGATTGTTTTAGAAGAACTTTGACAAATATTTCATTATACTTGGTGATATTAAATATTCTGCTCAGTGTCTCTCCTGGGACATGTCTCCATGCTCTAATGTTCAAAAAGCTCTTTATTGTCCTCATACTGCCTGTGCTGCAGCACCTCTTTTCACCCTCTGTCTGAAACCAGAGCCCAGTCTGCTCTGATTGGTTAGCTGGCCGGCTCTGTTGTGATTGGTCAACCGCTTAGAGGTGTCCCGCCCCTTAGCCTATCATGTACAATGTGTTGGAGCGCTAACCAATAGAAGCGTGAGCCATTGGACTCCTTTGTTACAGAAGTGAAGGGAACACGGGAAGTGTAGCCTCCACAGACCATTGACGAGCACCAAACCTATAGAAAGGGGAAACACCAAGAAGCACTCGCCTCTTTAAAGGTCAGAAGATGAATATAATTAGGAGTGAGCTTTAGCCTCACCTCTGTCGAAGTTGTACTGCTGAGAGATGATCTCCCCCCAGTACTTGGCGCACTCCGCAGACAGCTTCTTGGGCTTGTCCAGGCGGCGGATGGCCAGGGCCTGGATGTGTTTCTGGAAGGCTTCGTCGGCCATCTCCTCCACAGACTTCTCCATGGTGCAGAGGAAGGCCTCCACCCGGCTCTCCAGGTAGTGGGGGGCCTTCTCCGACTGGATGATGAAGCGCAGGCCCTGCACTCCGTTAGCCCGCCGCGGCCCGCTGAACACAATGTAGCCTGGGGGGGGGGGATAGAGGGGAACACCAGCAATGTTCTATATCATACTAATGTTAGGTCCCTCCCTAGGATTACAGCAGTACTACCAATGTGATTTATAGTCATTCTCAAAAGATGTGACGGCACACAAAAGACAAATCTCAGTAAGTGAAGTTTCTAGATCAAATGACAAAATACAGCTACAACATTCTCAAAGAAAAATGGCTGAATTCATATTTATAACATGGCAGCACAACTCATTTGGGTTTGGACAATATATGAAATAAAACATGCACAATTAGCACAAAAAGTATAAAGTCGAGCGCACCATCATGGTAGAGAAGTAAAAAATACATGAATTATCATGTAGATTTTTCAAATATATAATTATAATGCTTATATCATGAAGTCACAATTATTCTGGTCAGGGTAATGGTGACATGAAGTTTTGTATATGGTCCCATGCCTACAGCTCATATATTAAACAATACATATAAATACAATTTGTTCTAAATTGTCATCAGTTCAACATTTGATCCTATTAGGCATTCATTGGAAATTGTCATAATTAGCTTTTGAGTTCAAGAGTTCTGACAAATAACTAGTTTTTGAATACCTTGACCTTTATCCATCAAAATCTAATCAGCCAAGCGGACGTTTGAGCCAAATGTAAAGAAATTCCCTCGTACATACCCGAGATATCTTCTTCATAAGTACGGGGCAGATCTGATTTGTCACCGTGACCTTCAACCCCTATAATCTGATACGCTTTTCGTTGAGTTAAAGTAGAGGAGTGCCACATTTGAAAAACAAAAGGTCCTAAAAACAATCAGGTGTTGCCAGCTGCCATATGGATACACAAAGAAAGTGTTATGGAAGACTGTACACGCAATATGTTTCCCTTGGCCCTCTGAGACCCACCCAGCTGCTCTTTGGTCCTCAGGGTGTTGAAGCAGGGCTCAGAGATGATCTGACAGAAGAGCTCCAGCAGCATGTTGTCGTTGGTGCTCTGCATGTCCGTCTGATAGTAGATCTCGATGCCGCAGTTGTTGTGCACCTCGTTCCTCTGCTGGTAAACATACCAGCCGCCTGAGAGGAGCACAACACAGTTACTTTGAAATGCATTTCTGACAGAGAGGAAAACAGGCAGGTTTAAAGACTGAACGCAGTAATACAACTGAAGGAGCAGACATGTATTTTGTACATCTGTATTTGATTCAAACTAGATTTTCCCTTGTCTACAACTAATACATTAAGCAATACACATAATGTAATCCTTTCTCAAATGTCATCAGCTCAATATTTATGTCCTATTAAGAGATGTGAAATTGTCATAATTAGCTATTGGATAAAGGTCACAAAACACATTTATTTTCTTCTTGATCTATCAAAATGTAATTATCCAAGCGGACGTTTATTGCTTAATTTGAAGAAAATTTCCTAGAGGAATACCTAAGATACTAGGGTTGCACGATTTTGGGGGGAAAAAAATCTAATTGCGATTTTTCTGACAAATATTGCGATTTGCGATATTTGTTTTTAAGCGACCCAACGTAAGTTTATTGTAAAATGCGGCCATAACTCCGGCTAGGAAGGTCGTATCAACATGCTCCCGTCTCTAGCACCCCCGCAGCCCGAGCTACGAGTGAAAGAACTAAACTTACATGAAACTTCCGTTGGGTTGCTTTTAAAGTCAAGCTTCAGTTTAAGATTCACCCTGTAATAGATGTGTAACACATGTGATGGAGCATTACTAGCCTGACTCAGATGGTGTGTTTCACCAAACCATCTAGGAAAGCTCCATTGGAAGCCATTTGGAAAAGGGCAGTCACTTTCAAAAATACTAGGCAGGTGATTGGATCAATCTGTCTATCACCTTCTATCATGGGCCACTTCGGATTGGTTAACAATGGCTGGTACATGTGGAGCACAGCACTTCTGATTGGTGTGGATGACTGACACACAAGAAGAAAAAAAAAAAAT